CCTTCTGCTGGATGAGGAGTTTGGGCTTAGATTAGTTTTGATGATGCTGAAGATGGTGCTAGCATGTCAGCATCCTGAGAGCTGACAGCCCTCTGCTTACAGTTCCTGACTGGAGAACCAAACGGTCCAGCATCTACCTCTGGACCTAGCTCAGCACTCAGGAGCCAGGGGGACAGTAGTGATGGGTCCCATATCAGCCACACCCAAAATCAAACGCATGAAAACTTTTAAAAGTGGAGAAAGCATTCTGTTCTCTCCTTTTGTTGTTAAATGGGCACTGTTTTTCTTTCTCATTCTCTCTTCTGGGTGGGAAAAAAACCAAGATTACCCATTGCCATTGTTTGCAAGAGATGTCACAAGTGGGCTGTAGAAACCATATCTTCATTACCCTTGACCCGTTCTGGGGATGAAGCTCAAAGATATGAGGAGTAAGTGTGTTCAAATCATTCCCAGCTGTGGAGAAAGTACAGTTCTGTCCAAGGAGGCTGAGGGGCAGGGCTTAGGCAGCATGGTCCATACAGAGAGTAGAGGGTGGTCCTGCATTGCGGTCGGGGATATTTTCAAAGTGTGGAAAACCATCAGGGAAACTAATGAGCAAGACATTTACAGCTCAAAAGAAAATCCAGCTTCATTTCTTCAATCGTTCATCTCATCCGTTTAATAAATGTGCGGTTAGGATCACTATTAGCCTTACATCATCCTTGGTCCTAGATGCTTCCAATTTGACAAGATTTCACTTTTACATCATGGGGCTTACATTCTAGCATGAAAGGAAATGCTTAAAGAACATCATCCAATTGTGGGGTGCTTGCAGCAGGTAACTGAGCCAAAACTATGTCCCAGCGGAAGCTGCCCTTGAACTGAGTTATTTACCAGGCTGGAAGCTGCCCTTGAACTAAGTTATTTACCAGGCTGGGTGGGGTGTACAGGAAAGACCCAAGAGCATTTCAGCCATCAGAGAATGGCACATGCAAAGGTCCTGTGGAACAAAGCTCATATCATGTTGGAAGTGCAATCCAAAGAAATGGAGGTGTGAAAAACACTGGCAGAAGACAAATGTGCCAGGGTGGCCCAGCACTGACTGTTTGGGGCTTAGGCCAAGTTGGCCCAGCACCGACTGGGACCCGGACTCAGCAACCCTTTTCAGTGAAAGGGATAGATAGAAAAGATTTGGTTTAGGGTTTTTGTTTTGGTTTGCTTTTTGTTTGTTTTTGTTTTTATTTTTTCCAAATGGCAGAATTAGTTATATATGTGTAATATATGTAGTACATATCAAGAGAGTACAGAAATCCACAAAAATGTTATCACTTGGGCTGGAGAGATGGCTCAGTGGTTAAAAGCACTTCCTAGAATCCACATGCTGGTGTGCCACTATCTCTGATTCCAGTCCCAGGTTGATCTGATGCCTTTTCTGGCCTGTGCACTCGAGTGTGCATACACTGGGGGTGGGGGGGTGGAGAGAAAGAGGAGGAGGGAGGGAGAGAGGACAGAGGGAGAGAAGTAAATCTTTTTTTTTCCTTAAATGTTACTAGTTGAATTCTAAAGATACAAATGACCGAGTAACATTTTTAATACAAATCTACCAAGGGAATAATGGAATATTAGAGAAGGAAAATATTTTATCTCACTAGTGTCTATTATCAAAGCTTATGGTAAACATTTGTCTATTAATGCTGACGAGAAGGAGATCTTACGTTTCGTGTTGCTAAATCCCCTTTTACATAGACAGCCATTGCCAAACCCTGTTATCTCTTCACAACTCTACACTTTTAATTAAGCATGCTCACGTCTGTCAGGCATTTCTAAAATTGTACTAGAGTTGTCTTCTGGTGTTTGCTTGTTTGCAAAGTTTATTGTTTTGTTTATAAGTGTGCACCTGCCTGCATGGGCTTCACGTACCAGACATGTGCAGGAGCTTTAGGAGGCTAGAACTCCTTGAAGCTGGGGTTACAGGCCAGCGTGAGCTGCCTGACGTGGGTGCTGAGAAGCAATGAGCATTCTTAACTGCAGAGCCATCTCTCCTGAACCCGATAACCTATTCTTCCATTAATCATCTGCAACGGAAAGTTATATGGAAGCCTTGTTAAATGGCCTGGTTAAATGCATTTTGAAATATGAAAATCGTGTCCTCCACACATCAAAGTCCAGCTCACACTATTGGGTCTGCAGTTTGTGCTCAGAGACACAATCACTGTGAGTGTGTACAGAATAGAGATGCATCTCCTTGTCTTAACTTGTGACAGCCCAGGAAGAGCGTTTAAAAGGCTTATTATTGCCTGTTATTTAAACAATATTCTTCTAACATAATATAAATGTTATCTAAAAAGATCCCCTTCCTCAGTTATAGGCTAAGTTTCTTATTGGTAGGAAAGCTAACATTCAGAGCCACTGAGGGTTCACTTGTAGTGATGGGAACAGATTTTATTCTCATCTCTAACCTCAAAAAGCTTATTCAAAATGTTGGCTGCTGTTCAGCTCTTACCCTTTACCATAGGATAAGTCAAGTGTTTGGACTCTAGGTCTCACCAAAACTAATCCTAAAACTGTGGATGGCTAAAGGAAAGGGAGAACGTGAGCTAAGTAAGGACCAGTCTCTCTCTCCCTCCTTCCCTCCTTCCATTCCTCCCTCCTCCCCTCCCTCCATCCCTCTCTCCTTCTGGACTGTGAATGTCATCCAGTGTCGGCCTTCGAGGTAGCCTCCCATACTACACACGCACACTAGGCTGGACTAGAGGAAGGGATGCTTAGCTGGAATGGCTGGGTGACAACAGGATCTTGGGCAGCCGTGAGTGTACAGGTAAAGAACAATCACACCCAGGAGCAGCTTCAAAGAACTGGTTCTGTTTATTGGGGGAAACAGAAACTATTTAGAACTTTGCGGGTGGGTAGGGGCTATCGGGATGAGTGCACATCATTGGCTGAAGCCAGGATGCTGGGGATGCCTCATTTGCATAAGGAAGAATTCCAGGTGCTGCTGGACATGACCTTGTAAGGGGAAAGGAGATTTAACTTGGCTACAGGCTATGTGACCTCCTCTGGTGAGGCAAGGGTAGGAGGCACAGGGCTGTGTGCATCAGGACATGCTGGCCCAGGGCAGGGGCTTGGAGATGGTGCAGAGAGTGGGAGTGGGGAAGCAATCCTATTCCTGCTGATCTCAAGATGAGAACAGGACGAGATTTCCAGGGTTTGGATGGGCCTCGGCCTCAATCTTGCTCCAGGCCTTCTCCTGGTCCCAGGGCTGCCTGGCCGCACACCATCTGACCTGCAGCCTCACTCCCCTGCTGTGATGTGGTTACCCACATGACAGGCTATACCCTTAAACGGGAGCCCTAAATAAACCCTACTTCCTCTCTTGAGTTGCTTCTGTTGGGTACTTTGTTGTGTCAATGAGAAAAGTAACCAAAATCTCCAGTGAGTCTCTCGGTCCTCCTGCTCTGGTTCTTTCTCTGCATTTTGGAAATCGTACACACACATTTATTCTAGTCATTGCACAGTGAGTATTGTCTTCCTTGAATAAACAGCAGGATCTTTTGACTCATCAGAAGCCAAAGAAAAACTACACAAAGCGACCTCCCTTGCACCTCACTGACTAGTGACCTGACTCCCGTTCTCAGACACTTTCGAGAATTCCTTCTTTTTGCCAAGAGCTTATTTTCCTAAGCTGGTTTGTTTCCCCTGCACACGCTTCTTTAGTTCTTCCTGTTAAATAAAATATAATTAGCTCAGCGGGTAAATTATTTTTCTTATTTTGCTAAGAATTGAGGCACATGGAATGTACCTATTCCCACTTTTTGGTTTGTGAGCAAACTACGCTGTGTTGATATTCTTTCTTTGATGGTGGCTTTCTCCTAAGTTGGAAATGTTATGACAAGTGCTTAGTGTGGGGATGTCGGTGTCTGTTGTTTTTCCTTAAGCACTCTTGTAATGTTGTGTGATAAACACAATAATTTGTTGCCTAAAATTGGTCACAGAACACTCCATGTGTTCCTGTCCTCATCTTTCTCTTGATCTGTCATAGTCTGATTTGCTTGTGTATTAGTGACTCGTCCCAGTGCTGTGACAAAATACCCAATAAAAACATCTAAAAACAAGAAGAGTTTATTCAGGCTGGCTGAGGGTGCACCGTGCATCATTGTAAGGAAGGCGTGGTGACAGGTACAGAAGGTGAGGCAGCGATCACATTGAATTCACAGCCAGAAAACAAGAGATGAATGGGGGAAAGTCATGCTTTCCTGACTCTTCCCCGCTCTGACTCAGCCTGAGCTCCGAGCCTGTATTTAGAGTGGGTGTTCCCTCCTCTGAGACATATCCAGAAGTGCATTTCTAGGTGATTCTAAATCCAGACAAGGTGACAATGAAGATTTACCCTCACAATTGAATAAGAAAATAATGAAAATATTATGATCTAGCAGTGCACCTCACACTCGAGACACAGCCGAGGTCGAGTTGCGTTGCTGTGATTCATGGCGTATTGAGCAGTAGCTTGAAGCTAGAAACTGCTCATTCCACTTAGTATATGAAGGCAGCTATTGGCTTTAGGTACATGAATGACGCTAGCTATGCCAAAATTTGAATCTTATACAATTTTTAGGTGTCAAGATACACTTCTCATAGTTTTTCTCAACTCTGTAGAAAGGCAAAACTAACTAGGCATGGAAATGTACACCTATAACAAACTAGCCAGGCATGGAGATGCATACCTATAATCCCATAACCAGGAGGCTGAAGCAAGCCTGGATATATAGCAAGACTCTTGTTTTGTCTCAGACAAACTAAAATGCAAATGCCCCTCTAGCTTCTAGGTCATCCGGAAACAGGTGGTGGTCTGGGTTTGACCCTGTGAACCTCGTCTGCTGACCTATGCAGTCAGATCACTATGAGTGTGTTGAGTTTCATTTCAATACTTACTATGGGTGCAAAAGTTACTTTCCCTCAAAACCAACAAAAGCCCCTAAAACAGAAACCTCACAAGTCATCTAAGACGATACATGTTTTTGCAGGATGGTACCCGGGTCGTAGGGAAATGCGGCGGTTACTGTGGAAAGTGTACTCCATCCTCTGGCACTGGCCTGGAGGTGCGAGTTTCATAACTAAGGTAAGTTTCCCTAACTCCCGACCTCTACAGATGTAGGAAATGACCTCTCCCCCAGACAGAGCTACTGTCAAGCATCGTGAAGCTGACCTGATAATATTCTACCCTTTACATTCTTGCTTGTCTGTCTTTCTGTGCCTGAAGGCATCTGTCCCTCATCCCTGAACCCAAGATCCTCAGGCCCCGTACATTAAGTTTCTCTTCACAGCCTGCTGGAAAATTCCAGGAGTTTTACTTCCTAAGGTCTCTGGTAGATCCAGAAATCTATGTTTTGAATATTAGAAATTGTGAAGTAAGGGGCTGAGATATATATCATCTCAGGATATAATATATATCCTGGAATACATACACACACATACACACACACACACACACACATATATATGTGTATATATATACATATATATATGTATATATACATATATATATAATTTTTACTTTTATGAAAATAAAATATCTATCGTGTTATATATCATAATACTGTTATAATAATAACAGTCCTGCTGACATTGTTGAGCTTCCACTGCACTGAGAAACAAACTTACAGGAATCATTTTCTTAGACTCCTCACAAGGAGGTCATGAGGTAGAGCTCTTGTCCTTATTTTACAGTAGAGGAAGCTGAGGCCACAACCATTAAGCAGCTTTCTAAGGTCACAGTGAATTCCCTTGCAGACCCCAGTGATACCTTACATCAAGAATTGTCCTCTCAGTCACCACGGTGTCACTGATGTGCCACTCACAGCAGGGCCAGCACCCCAGTGTCATCTGAGATCTTATTACAAATGCGGATCTTAGACCCTCTCAGAATCTTTAATTTTATCAAATTCCACAGGAAACTCATTCGTAGGCCAGCAAGTGCTCCCCCTGCTGGTCAAAAGATTAAATGGGTCACTTTTCATTATCCTGGTGCTTTCAGCTGCAGGTCACAGAAGTCCAACCACCTTGTGTGGCCTTCTAACACCTCCCCTATACTGTCCAGTGGCCCATTCAGTTCCCCGGATAGCTCATTCATGCTCTGATACGTGACTAACTATTTGACAAACGCTTAAGTAAACATCCGTATTGAAAAATATTATTTTAATATTTTTTTAAACAGGCTCTTGTTTATTAGCCCAAGCTAGCGTCACACTTGGGATTCTTATGCCCCTGTCTCCCAAGTGCTGGGATTTCATTTGCACACAGTTGCATGCCACCACACGTAGATGAAATGGCCACCTTAAATTAGTATTACCTGTGTTGCAAAAGGCAAAGAGACTGTGTTAAATAACCAGGACACTCACATGCTGTGCTCTCTTCAGCCACAGCGCCTCAGTATTGTTCTCCATTGACCAGCAGTGATCTCTCATGGTGCTTCCCCATTAACATGTCGTCTTTCCCATACCTAGGCCTCACTACGACTACATCATCATTATAGCTCCTGAGTCAACTAAATGCCTTCCACAACCATTCTGAAAAGTAACCCTCCTGGGATTATAAAAATGGCTCAGTAGATAAGAGTACCACTAGCTTTTTCTCCAGAGGATCTAGGTTCGATTCCCATCATTCAGAACCATCTGTAACTCCAGTTCCAAGGATTTGATACTTCCTTCTGGCCACCCAAGGCACCAGGCAGACATATGGCACTCAAATATACAGTCAGGCCGAGCACCCATACGCAAAATAAATATTAAAACAAACAAGCAAGCAAAAAACCTCTCCTTACCTCTGGTTGAATCACGTGGTCAATGCTGAAGCAATCAGTGTCTGGTGGCCTGAGATCTTGTGCCTACGGAGTCAGGTGACTGACAGCTGCATTTGGAAGAGGGTCACTTCTAAAAGAGCAAGGAGAGTTTTGACTTGGGACTATGCCTCAGTGGTAAGGCACTTTCCTAACATGAACAAGTCACTGGGTCTGACCAGAACAATGAACAAAGCAATAGTGAGTTCTAGGACAGCCTGGGCTAGAGAATAAAACACAACACATACACACACACACCATGTATGCACCATGCACATACACACAACACATACACACCACATCATACACACACACCATGTATACACCACATACATACATACACCACATACCACATCATACACACACAACACATACACAACACACACACACATACACACACCACAAACACCACACATATATACAACACACTATGCCACACGCCATACTCTCACATATACCATATACACATACCACATACATACACACAACACACCAAACCACACACAACACAGACACACATACACTCATGATCACAGGAGTTAAGGAAAGATTTGAGATACAAAAAGAGAAGATGGGGCAGCAGCCAGCAAAACTCAGCAGATGAACTCCAGAGACCCCATTTTCATATGCATTCTATATCTTCTTTTCCTGTGTCTGTTATATGTCATAAAACATGAGCACATACATACTAAAGTTACATGTGTGTAAGAAGACTAGAAGGAAATGTACTAACATTCCAATGTTATCTTAGATGAGATTTCTAGGCACAGGACTCTTCACTTTCATTCTTTTGTAATTATTCTTTTTAAATTACCTTCATGTATTTATGTGTGTATGTGTTGGGGTGTGGGTCTGAGGCCAACTCACTGGAGACAGGTCTCACCTTCCAGCAGCTGTCTCTCCTTGGTCTCCACGTGCCTGTTTTGACTGGAGGTCAAACCCAGGACTTCACACTGCTAGACAGGCACTCCACCACTTAGCTACATCCACAGTCTACTTCTATGTTGCTTGTAGTAAACAGACAGACAGACAGACAGATGATAGGTGATAGATAGATAGATAGATAGATAGATAGATAGATAGATAGATAGATAGGTGATAGATAGATAGACAGATGATAGATATATAGATGATAGATATGTAGGTGATAGATAATAGATGATAGATGGATGGATAGATAGATAGATAGATAGATAGATAGATAGATAGATAGATAGATGAAGAGGTCACTTTCTAACCTAGAGAATATCCTAAGTGACACTTTGTAATTCTGCACATGGAAGTGCCTAGTTTACCTACTGTTGACTCTCAGTTTTGGATATGGAAAATTTATAACTTCCGGTTTCTTTATTTCAGGGGCTCTGAAGAGGAAGCCATATGAGATGGATGAAGGATAGTAATTCAATACCTCCACCTTAAATTTGGGTGCATCTGTGTGCATGTGTGTGGATCTGTCTGTGTGTGTGTGTGTGTGTGAATGTGTGTATATGTGTGTACATATGCATATATATAAATATATATATTATATATATATAGGTTGAGCATCCCTTATCTAAAAATTTAAACTCTGAAATGCTCCAAATTCTGAAACCTTTTGAGTGCCAGCATGAGATCTCAAATGGGAAATTTCGTGCCATGAAACTTTGTTTCATACACAAATTTTTATAAGTGCCATACAAAATTATATTTCTGTCATCCATGTAAAGGTGCATAGGAAACAAAAATGAGACACGCAATTCTTGGGCACGTATTGCTCTCTTCCTGAGTACCGTGCTGCTTAAAACCTATATTAAAATCTCCTAGATTTTAAATCTTTACAACTCCATTTAAAGGAAATAAGCATAAATTAATACCATGTCACCCCAAAGAGATCTCGTTTTAAATATGAAAATATTACCAAGTCTTCAAAATGTCTGAAATCCACACTGATGGTCTCAAGCATTTCAATGAGGGATACTCAACCTGCGGAATACCCTAATGATGTAAAGTTTAATATTTATGTTTGAAATTATTTATTGTGATGTAATATTTTTGTACGTAAAATGATTTTATTGTGACTGCCTGTGCATGATGCCCCTCCTTGCAGTCAGACCGCTGCATTTTACGTACGCTACATTATATGTAGTATATGACAAAGTGACTCTTCGTTATCACGGTACACTGTTGTTTACTTCTTACCTGGAAATGTGTTTTACTGTTACATTTTGAAATTTTTTGTAATTATTTTTTTTAACAACTTAGCTGACATCAAGGTGCTACGTGAGTTGAATAAGGGTATTTTTGGCAATTGTGGGAATGTTTCATTAGCCAATAAGTAAGTTAGCAACATCACAGGTTGTACCAACTGTTCCTCATAGTCTCTATTCCGTTTCATGTGATCTCTGGGAAGAATTGTGCTGCCTTGGTGCTAATATTTTATGTTTTTAAAGTAATTGTCAGAGTAAAAACTGTAAACACTTAACAAAAGGGAGCAAGAGCTAGATAATTCCCAATGAATAAAATCACTTGCTAGAGTGAGACCTACTATTTACACTTCTTTTTAGACTTGTCTTTCTTTTTTTTATAATAGCTGGACTCTTTTCTTACTGTTGTTGTTAGTAATATGCTCTACTCTGCTCCATGGTGCCTTGGACTCCTTTCAATCATTGGGAGGGTCTATCAATAGCTTCATTACAGAGTGACACTGGGAAAGGAGGCTCTCCTACTGTTTTGTCACAATATCCTCAAAGTTTATGAGCAGCAAGACAAAGGATATACCACAGGAGCATGGCCTTAACCCCTTGGCATACTCATGGCCTTCAGCACCCCTCAGCATACTCGGAGAACAACAGGAGATCAACCACCTTTTACCTGAAAACTTTGGCCAATGATATGACTTCCCTTGAGGCTGGGAGCCTAATACCCTGCCGGGTTTCCTGTGGTCTTCAGCATTTGTGTGAAAAACAAACTGGTATCTAAGATGCCCAGGTCTTTCTGATCTTCCACGAATCCACCTTTTGTTACTTCTTTCAGGAATGAACGTGCTGAGGCAGTGGTCACAAGACATTTTACTAGAGAAAGCCTTCCCAAGCTTTCCAAGACCAAAGAGATTAGGAAAACCCTGACAGTATTCTCCAACTCCACAGAAATGCCAGAGCACTTGGTGTATGAACAAGTGTCATTTTCTATTGTTAATACATGTGAAACATATTTTAAATAAATATTGTGACCACATCCAAACCATAGATGCTTCTGTTGACTTCTGGACTCTTGACTAAAGTTTAAATATGAATGTCTCTATGGATATATATATATATATATATATATATATATATATATATATCAATGTGTATATATATATCAATGTATATATATATATATCAATGTATATATATATATATCAATGTATATATATATATCAATGTATATATATATTAATGTACATATGTATGTATATATAATATTGTAAATATGTATGTAATATTGTATATTATAGCCCCAATATATGTATATATGAATATACATATGTTACATACATATTATTATATGCATATATGCATTTATACATGTATATAAATATATTCATATAATTATAACCTCAATATATATAATATATGTATATTGAGGTTATAATATAATTACATTATTTTTCCCATCCAAACCCTCCCATATACCTTCCCTTGCTCTCTCTCTCAAGTTCATGGCCTCTTTTTGTTAATTATGTTAATTATTGTTGTTACATATATAATATAACTTGCTCAGTCTGTATAATGTTACTTGTATGTTCATCTTCAGGGCTGATCTTTTGGCAGTGGATGACCAACTAAGGCTGAGGTTCTGTGGCTTTTCCCCATCCACTTTGCCATGTCTGTCTTGTCTTTATTCAGCTCATATTTAGGTTGTCATGCTAATGAGATTTTTACGGGCATAGCTTTTGGCGCTCCTAGGGGACAATATCAGCTCTCTGGTCCTCTGGCTCTTACAATCTTTCCATCCCTCTTCTATGATGTCCCCTGAGCCTTATGTGTGGGAATTGTTTTGTCGAAGCATCCGCTGGGGCTGGTCTCCACAACTGTGCATTTTGGTTGCTCATCTGTGAAGGCATCAATCTGCTGCAAAGAGGAGTTTCCTTGAGGAATGAGGACTACACTTATCTCTGGGTATAAGGACAAATATTTAGAATGTAATTAAGGATTATGTTGAATTAGTGAAGTGATGGCTGGAGGTTCTCCTCCAGAATTAATGGCTTCCCTAGCCCTGGGTTCTAGGCATAGCTCTCCCTTGTTGAGCACGTTTCAAGCTCACTTGGAGAGCTCTTGCTAGCCGCCAAGGTATGCACACCACTACTGCATCCTTAAGGGTTTTGCACCATGCTGGTCATTGTTATGATTTACAGGCATTGTAGCTGGATAGAACAGCTGGTTGCTTCCCTCATTTGGAAGCTTGCACAGTGCCTTCTGGTGGCATGAAAGCTAGTCCTCAGGAAAGAGTCATTCAGGTCAGCTCAGGTCAAGAGCCTCTGAGTCTTGTGTCTAAAGACACCTGTACATGGTCTTCAGCTACAGGGAATCACCTTCTACTTCTATGGAGCAGCCATGGGCAACAGCAATAGTTTGTAATGTGTGGGGAGTCTCTTGGACAACCCTTATCAATGATTCAAAAGAGGGCTTCTTGTGTAAACTATATATGTATGTTTATACATAAGTTTCTGTGTAGTATAGTGGTTATTTGGGTAGATAATAACATGATTCCTTATGGCCTTTCAGACAGCCTTACTTTCCTTCTTCTATAGTTATCTCCTTCTCCTCCTCCATTAGATCCCCCAGTTTTCTCATTTCCCTGATCAACTGTAACCTGCTATCCCCCTTTCTGTCATTCCCCTATCCCTCTTACCCTGGCTATTGGTCTTTTTTTCTCCCCTGGTTTCTGCTGTTACCCACAGGATATGTACTCACATCTGAAATTTTGGAGCTAGGAGCCTTTGATGAGAGAGAACATGTGATATTTCTTCCCACCCTGGCATTCCCCCTCACTGGGACATCGAGCCTGCACAGGACCAAGAGCCTCTCCTCCTATTGATGTCTGTCAAGGCCCTCCTCTGCTACATATGCAGCTGGAGCCATAGGTCTCCCCAAACATTACAACACTCTTTGGTTAGTGGTTTAATTCCTAGAAGCTCTGGGGGGTGGGGGTTGGTTGGTTGATATTGTTGTTTTTCCTATGGGTTACACACTCGTTCAGCTCCTTCAGTCCTTTTTCTAACTCCTCCACTGGGGACCCCATGCTCAGTCCAATGATTGGCTATGAGCATCCACCTCTGTATCTGTCAGGCTCTGACAGAGCCTCTCAGGAGACAGCTATATCAAGTGCCTGTCAGCAAACACTTCTTGGCATCTACAATAGTGTCTGAGTTTTGTGTCTGTGTATGGGATGGACCCCCAGGTGGGGCAGTCTCTGGATGTCCTTTCCTTCAGTCTCTGCTCCACACTGTCTCTGTATTTCCTCCCTTAAGTATTTTTTTCTCCCTTCTAAGAAGGACTGAAGCACTCACACTTTGGTCTTTCTTCTTGAGCTTCAGGTGGTCTGTGAATTATATCTTGGGTATTCTGAACTTTTGGGCTAATATCCACTTATCAGTGAGTAGATACCATGTGTGTTCTTTTGTGACTGGATTACCTCACTCAGGATGATATTTTCAAATTCCATCTATTTGCCTAATAATTACATGAACTCATTGTTTTTAATAGCTGAGTAGTACTCCATTATATAAATGTACTACATTTTCTGTATCCCTCTGTTGAAAGACATCTGAGTTCTTTCCAGCTTCTGGCTCTTATAGATAAGGCTGCTATGTTCATAGTGGAGCATGTGGATCCTTGTTATGTGTTGGATCATACTTTGAGTATATGTCCAGGAGTGGTATACCTGGGTCCTCAGGTAATGCTATGTCCAATTTTCTGAGGAACCTCCAGACTGATTCCAGAGTGCTTGTACCAGCTAGCAATCCCACCAACAATGGAGGAGTGCTCTTCCTTCACATCTTCACCAGCATCTATCACTTGAGTTTTTGATCTTAGCCATTCTGACTGGTGTGAGGTGGAATCTCAGATTTGCATTTCCCTCATCCTGAACGTTCCCATCTCAGAAACTAAGCAGGGTTTGGCCTGGTTAATACTTGGATGGGAGGCCTAACTCAGCCATTCTCATGGCAGATGAGGGTAGATGAAATATCAAAGTAGTTTTAATTTGGATTTCCCTGATGGCTAAAGATGATGAATACCTTTTAAAAAATATTTCTTAGCCTTTTGTATTTCTTCTGAGAATTTTCTGTTCAGGTATATATCCCACTTTTATTAAATGGATTTCATTACATATCCCTGGCAAGCCAGGAACTATTTGTAGCTCAGGCTGACCTCAAACTCATATAGATACCCCTGCCTCTGCCACCTGAGTGCTGAGATTAAAGGCATGTCCCCCCACACCTAGCCCTATAGCCCACTGTTTTGTTGGGTCATTTGTTTGTTTTTTGAGTTTCTTATATATCAGAGACACTAATCCTCTGCCAGATGTATACATGACAGATTTTTCCCATTCTGCAGACTGCATCTTCAGTTAATTAAAAGTTTCCTTTTCAGTAAAGAAGCATTTTTAATTTTATGAAGTTCTGCTTAATGATTGTTGTCATATTTCATGAGTGACTAGAGTCTTATACAGAAAGTCTATATCATGAAGGGTGCCCAACTTGTTCATCATATATGCATAGGTATGGGCCTTCCATTAGAACATAGCCAACCTACCATGAACCATAAACATAGAAAAAACTGACTTACCCTCACCTCCCAAAACATCAACTGTCAATAGATCCTGAGCTACTGCATTGAGAGATCATGAGCCCCTACCCCTCCACAAACAAACACAAAACAAAAACATGGAGTTAAATATCAGCCTAAATCAAATGGCCCTAATAGATACCTACAGCACATCCCACCCAAAAACTAAAGTATATATATTCTTCTCAGCAACCTATGGAACGTCCTCCAAAAGTGACCACATATTAAGACACACAGCAAGTCTCCACATTGAAATGTTAACTGGGTTAATTTTATGCAGGTCTTGTGCAGGCAACTACGGCTGCTATGAGTTCATCAGTATAATAGTCCTGTCATGTGCAGAAGACACTGTTCCACTCTAGTCTGTCCCAAGTTCTGACACAATTTTTCTGCTCCTTCTTTCATGATGTTCATTGAGCCATCAGAGCCAGTGGATATGATGTAGACATTCCATTTATGGTTAAGCGGGCCACAGACACATATTCTCTGCATTTTGACCAGTTGTGAGTTTCCATGTTAATTGACCTATACTATATAAAGAAACATCTCTGATGAGGGCTGAAAGCTGCAGTAATCTATGGGTGGAAGCATATGTGCTTCAAGGTTAGTTTGATACTATATCTATTTAGTAAAATAATAGTAGTTTCATGCCTGAGACCCGTGAGCTCCCCAGCTACAAATCTGGAGAATCCAATATGGATTTAAAAACTAATCATTAAAAAGAAAGAATTGGCCTGAGCCAGGCTGACTCTATGACAGGCTGCAAACTAGCAGTTTAGGAGACCAGGCCTGAGTTTCTACTTCCCAGAACTGGGAAAGTCAGTTACTGAACAACCGCAGGCTTATGTCAAGAGGTACCTCTCCCCAGCTTGCAAAAGGACGGTTAGCCAAGGTTGCAGCCAAGCAGTCAAGAGCTACCCTTCCTTGGAATGAAGCAAGAATAGTTAGTCTGAATCATAGCATCACCCAGACTCACAGAGATAGTACCCACCAATCAAGACATAGGTTGCCTACCCCTCCCTAATATCCCTCTACTTGGCTTTAAAATTGAATCAGTGAATTCAGTCAGGGTCCTTCCATCCTGATGGTATTGGGCTCCTGCATGCAGGAATAAATGCTCTTTGATTTTGCATACTATTTGAGTCTGGGGTATCATTCTGTAGGGGGGTGGTTCTGATTTAATCGGGAATCTGCGAGTACTGGCACTGATGGTCCTTGTCCTCAGTTGGTTCTTGCTCATTCAATAAAAATGTCTGCAGCCAATGACTGGGCAAAGAAAAAGAGGCAGAACTTCCAGTTTCCTGTAGGCTAGGAGAGAGGAAGAGGAGATCAAGGCACCTGGGAGAGAGACAGGATAGACTTGTAGCTACAGGGGAGATCTTCCAAAATGTAGGCAGAAAGGGAAAGTGGCCCGA